TCGAAAATGAGGCTCGGAAAGTAAACTACGTTTTCTAGAGTTTAGGTAATTTAAACTTAAATTTGAGTCCATCTTATATTTTGTAGTGTGGAAATCCGTTAGTTATTTAGGCTGTGAACAAATTGTCGAGTTAAATTTAACTCGTGGTTAAAAGTGACATTTCGAAAGTTATTTTCTTTGTTCGAAAATCCCTATGTTATCGATCGACCGATTTTCGAGTAAAACTCAGCCACGGTTGTCAAAATCTAATTTCTTGTCGGTCCGAAATAACCATGCTCGGATAGCAGGGTTAATCGATAACTTTCCATCTGTAAAATTTTACACAAAATTTAAAATAATCCGCCAAATGGTTCAGGTCCTTTTGCACGCCAGCAGCGGGGGAACGAGCACTTCTTAGTGAAAGATTCAACTTTCCACCACCTAAATATGGAGAAATCGACAGTAAAAAGAGCAATTTATAAGCTTATTAATACGATTCCAAACACTTCTGTGCTCAAAAAGTGCGGATAAATCAGGATTAGGGTTGCTGAATCGATTCAGACAGGAAGGATTATCGAAATAAAGATCATCGAGAAAGGAAGAGTACTGTACAACGAAGCCAAGTACAAATAGAGTTTTACAAATAGAGTTTTAAAATAAGATATATCAAGCAACATATTAATTACATTTTGCAAAATAATTACACACCTCAGGGAGAAAAACTTGGCTGAACACAATTAGCTGATACCAACCTTTTTGCCTTTCTTTTGTGAAAGGCTATGATATCACTTGTAAACACAATTTCGCTCCAAGACCCGGAAAGACGAATGGCATATACCAATAGACTCATCTCAGAGGGATCGGAAAATGTTTCTGTATGTGTGTATATATGTATGCATGTATGTGTCTATGTACACACTTAGAAATTATTACCGACTTCTTTTATATGGCTTTCTCAGTCTAGGGTAATCCAATCAATTATTTTTGCATTTCCCGACGTTTCGACCGTTTATTATGACCTTTTTCAAGGGTAAACTAAAAAATATTACAATTTGTAAAGACTACTACTAACATTAAACATTAATATAACATAAAAATACACAGTCTACCGGTATTTTTTACAGAAATTTCAACAGCTGAACGTTCGGTAAAACTTCGACCTTCATTTCAGAAGCTGTTTCACTCAATTTTATTTTCAAAACACTGACAGCCTTATTTAAATAATCGAGTCTTGCCATTGCGGTGAAGTTTTCCTTGTTTTGAAGCTTTAAAACTAATGAATTAAAATGCCTGATTTTTACCGAACAGTCCAGCTGTTGAAACTTCGGAAAAAAATACCGAAGTCGGTAATCATTTCTAAGTATGTATGTATGTAAGTTCGTATGAGTGTAACTCACTCAATTTTCGCAGAGATGACTGAACTAATTTGAGTTAATCAAGTTTCAGGAGATGTGTTTCAGATCCTCATAGATCACTATTACTTATTTCCCGATCGGAATTATGGTTCCGAAGATATTTACAAAAATGTGAATTCCAGATTCCACTGGGGAATTCTCAAAGGATTGATGTATCAAAAACTCACCATGCGATACCTCAAATCACACTAGAATTTTACTATAAGATAAATGGTGGACACATTAAGATCCAAGGTAAATGCATGCTACGATGTGTGGTTTAAGGTAGTATGCTAAAGAGTCTCGAGTATCCGTTTCCTTGATCCCTATTAAGCAATGTTGATGGATTCCGTTTAATTTGATGTCCTTGTGAACGTTGCTTATGACCTCCAAAATTTTTGTTAAATCTTCCCTTTGTTACCCAAGTTTTGGTATAGGTACGTGGATGACATTTTTAGCATTGTCAAAAGGGAAGATTTATCAAAAATATGGAGGTCATAAGCAACATTCGCAAGGACATCAAATTTACTCACGAAGAAGAGAGATATGGCAAACTCCCCTTCTTAGATCTTCTCATCATCAGGGAAACGTCTTCGTTCAATTTCGAAATCTATAGGAAACCAACAAATACAAAGAGAGTAATACCAAACACTTCAAACCATTCCCATCAACACAAAATGGCCGCTTTTCACCACATGGTTCACAGGATACAAACTCTTCCTCTTAGCGATACAGGCAAATCAAAGTAAATAGCTCACTGGTGTTGAGTACTTGGCACTGATGAAGTCTGCAAGTACAGGGTGCGTGACGAATTTTTGCAGTAAATTTCAAATAGTAATTTCTCATGCTTGTGCATCATGATTTAGATATATTTGGCAGCACTGGATAGCTTATACTGTTAGGTGTAAGATTTAAACAAACAATGTTGAGTAAACGTAAAGCTGTCGAAACAAGAGAGCAATCTGTCAGCCGTTGTCGCTTTGTTGCGCGCCGGAGTATGCATGAAAGAAATAATTCGGTCGGTAAATGTATCTGAAAAAACAGTGTATAATATTAAAAAAGGCTTGGGAAAGTGATAAGACGGAGCACCTGCTCATACTGCTAATAAAGCACAGAAATGGCTTACGGAAAATATTTCGTAAATTTGGGAGGAAGAAATTTGGCCCCCAAGCAGTCCCGATATCAATCCGTTGGATTATTTTGTATAGGGCGTCGTCCAACGGGATACCAATAGAACCCCTCACACCACACTTAAGTCGCTAAAAGCTAAAATCAAGGCAGTGATGACATCTATGGATCGAAACATTTTAAAACGTGCATACTGCAGTTTCCGGAAGCGTCTAACTACAGTCGTCGAAAGGGAAGGCTATTTTTTTGAATAAATTTACTTACAACTCCCATATGTTGCGAAAGAAAATAAATCGCACAAAATTCATTGCTAGAATAACTAACTGGTGTATTTTTCTCAAATATGCCATTTACTGCCAAAATTCGTCACGCACCCTGTAGTAGACGAAATACGCGTATCTGTCAAAAGATAAGCAATTATAACGGAATTAAAATGAAAAAAAAAAAACCAAAACACTCAAAGCTCTTCATAAAGGGATTCCGTTTAGAGGTTCGACGAATTCAAAAGATTAACTATAGACAGTCAATTCCGGCCATCATGAGTTGACGTATCCAAACAAACTGCAAATCGTATGGAAAATGTTCGTTTTGGATACAACATGGCAGCACATTGACAGGTCTATCACTATGATCGTCTATTGGCGTTGACGAGAGCTCTGTAACTCTTTACTCCTATGGAGAAATCTTATATGTAACTGTCAGTCTATGTGTGAAATATGGCGAACATTTTCTTATTCTCTCACTCCAACGCAAAACCTCATAAGGAACTGTCAAAATGTGTGTGAATAAACGTCACTTCGGGACGCGAATTTCTACTGCGTGATGCAAAATGCATTGCACGTGTAATTTGATTAAATGTGTAAAACAGTGTAACCAAATAAATTTTAAAATTTTCCTTTGATTACAAAAGTCTGTAGTTATCTGTGAAAAAACTGAAAAGTTTGTAAATGACTGTAACGGAAAAAATGTCTGTGAAATAAATAAAAGTCTGTAAATTCACAGACATGCCTGTAAATCTAGCATTTATGTTACAATTGCTCATTACAGCTAAAATGCTATTATTATTATTTTGTAATGAGCAATTGCGATCATAGAATCGCTAATTACGACCCTCTGAAAACGAATTGGACAGGTTTTATGTGTCAGGTTTTACCTCCTCTTCCTAAATCTTACAAATGAAAAATATCGTTATTATATCTCATAATTTCATAATTCCATATAAAAATTTGTTTAGCTGTAATGAGCAATTGTAATCTTGAGCAGAATTTGTTCTTATTTCATATGTTTGAGTTTTTGAAGAATTATTTTCCTTAGTTTATTAAAATAAAATACCAGTACGAAGCTGAAACATTAATTGAAAATTGTTCAAACGAATCAAAAAGGGTTATTTATTAAAGCTAATTCTTATTACAAATTATTATCATCAATGTCTCAATATTTCTAAATCATTTTTGGAACGTTGCATCTTGGGTTCATTGTTTAAAGGTACGTATGTGCAGTTTTCTCGAATTCCTTAGGCATAGAGTATCATTGTGCTTGCCACACAATATGCAAATTAATGCATTGGTATTGGCATCGAAAGCTCTCAATTAATAACTGCGGAAGTACATTACGAACACTAAGGTGAGAGCACGCAATAAGCTAATATGCGCTACGTAAGAAGAATGTGCAGTTTTCAAAAATATAAGATTGCCCTAATATGTTATTTCAATGTTTTTATGAATAGTGTCCACCTAAGTCATTCTGAAGTCATATCCAAAATGTTCTCCAAGCTTTTTTTTTATCGTAGAAGATAGATAAAATTACATCCGCATTTTATTTCAGCTTCTATTTCTATTGATAATTCTGATAATTCCCACCATTCACCACAAATTATCCGTATGCCCATCGAATTTCTAACTTTTCTCGAGAGATGGTATTTCATATTAAAATCAAAATTACTTCCTCATAACAAGTCAAATCCCAGTCTCCATTTGCAAGCCCCGCTCCAGGAATAAATAACAATTTCCACAAAATTATTAGTTCGCCACCAACAACGGCTAATAGAGTTGTAATGCAGGCTGCGGATTTTATTTTTCCTCCGCAGCTGCAGCTTTCCTTTTGCAAATAGCATCACTGCGCTGCGGCTCTGCACACTATACCAGGCTATAGTCCATGCCGGGCAAGATTGTTTTGTTTATTAAAAAGATAAACTCTATAAAGAATAATTATTATAATTTGAAATTATATTTTATTTTTATTTCTCACTCGACTACCGTGTGCAACGGCCTGATAGGATATGCGACTGTGCAGCAGAGGAAAGGATGCGTCCTCGTCGTGGTCGTCGTCGTCGTTTTGCTGGTGAATTTCTAGCTCAGCATCCGGACAGTTCACGCAGCGGTACCTACCTGCTACCAATTGGAAGCTACAAACAGAAAATGACGCAAAAGCTGCAGTCATAACTAAGTTTTTAACGGAAAATGGTGCGAACAAACAGAGAAGAGGATGCCGCTGTTGTGCTGCTTTTATTTTGTGTGTATAACAAAGAGATCAACTATTCTCGACAATTGGAAAATGCTGCCCCATCCGATGGAGACGCCGAGTTCACTTTCTAAAGCCATAAGGATAGAGGGGAAGCAAAGCGACAAAAATTAAATTAAATTCAATTACACTTTTTTCTCAAATTTTATGTTGTTGCATTTACATTACCTTCATTAGTTTGCCAACGGGCGATTCGCGCTGACTCGTTACCTTGCCTATTTGTCTTGTGTCTCGGGATCAGCCGGCGATGGAGTGTGAACTTAGACTCTGGTATTGTATTTGAACAACTAGTTAGAGTTAGAGGAATCTCACCCCGGGCTTCATTCTTGGATTTCGCCTGGATGTAACCATTTGAAATGGGTGGCACATTCCTCGGCTCCTGCATCCGGTGATTGTTGTTGCTGTTGTTCATTCAGAAATTACCTTGATGCGGCAAATGCGCCGTTGTTGAAAGCTGCATCGGTGAGCGGGAGAAGTTGATTCTTGAGAGTGTTGCATCGCATTGCTTAAAACTCTGTGTGCACTAGTGGCAACGCGGTATTCATACGATTACCGTGAGTCGCATATTTTTGGCTAATTTTCTAATTAAATGTAAATTTATGCCGCACTTTATCTTTCCGGCAATACGTTGCACTTGGTCGGTAGGTATGTGATGCAGCAGCAACAGACTTCCTAGCAGCATTAACAGCATTGGGGGCCAGTACTAGTGGGGGAGAACGTGTGAATTGATGTGTATGTGCTTTGCAGCTTCTCGAAGTACCTTTTCGGAAGTGAACAATGAATCCATAAATTTTAGCTGCTGGTCGCAACTGAAGCATATTTCACGAGCCAGATTTCTGTGAAGTGATGCTTTCCCTTGAAAGAAGAGGATAACCAACGGATGTGTATGTTGGACAAATTAATTTGAAGAAATGAATGTGTGAATGGGTTAATTTCAGAACATGAAATTAGTTGCTGATTCTATCTTTACATAGGTGCTTATTAGATTGATGCAAAATTTGACTTTTTCGCTCCACAGTGCTTAAATGGTTTCAAATCCGGTCCTGATTAGCCTCCCAAAGTTACAACTAATTTGGTTAGAAACAGACTTCGCACAAGCCATTTGAAGTTTACTTGTAAATTACTATGGGAAATGTCAACTTTTTGTTCATTGCCTTCTAGTCTTTTTCCATATTAAGCTGCGAAACAGTTCGATAGCTATTCTTATAGAAAATTTTCTCAGCTACAACTTTGCTGAAAATTGTTTCTATGTAAAACGAGACAGGAAAAAGTTATTAATTATTTAAGTGATTGGTAAACTTATGACATGATCAAGCAGCTGCTGTATTTTGCAGTGTGACATAGTAGCCATGATTTTTGTGTCCTATTCAACGGCCCAGAAACACCAATGTTGCCTTCTGAGCAGTTGATTGAGCATGATCATAAGACATCAGCGCATTGAACCATTGATAACTTTCGATCCTTGCATTTAATCAAAATGTTTAATTTAATCAAAAGCAAAGTTGTAGCTGGGAAAATTTCCTACAAGTACAGTTGAAAGTTTTTGAAGCAGACCGATATGGTGACTTAAAGGGTGTCCACGATGAAATTGCCACACACAAAATTGATTCGCAAAATTCGAGTTTTCATCCGATTGCCATAAAATTTTCAGGGATTGAGAAATAACTATTAAACTTCATTTTACCATTTTACTCGTATTTTATTTACAGTCCATACGCAAATGCCCGCACCTTGGCCTTAACCCCGGCCATAAGATTCTGCACAACCTGTGAATCAACCGTTTTTTTGCATGTAAACCCATACTTTCTTCAGTTCCTCGACTGTCTTCACTACCTTAGGTCGTTTAAGAAGGTGCTGCTTGATAATCGCCCAGTACTTCTCGATGGGGCGGAGCTCCGGAGTGTTGGGAGGGTTGAACATTTTCGGCACGAAATTGACCTTATTGTCCGCATACCACTTCAGCACGTCCTTGGAGTAGTGGCATGAGGCCAAATCCGGCCAGAAGATTGTTGGGACGTTGTGGGCCTTCAGAAGAGGAAGCAGCCGCTTCTGGAGGCACTCTTTTATGTACACCTGTCCGTTCATCGTGTCCTGGGTCACGAAAGGTGCACTCCGCTTCCCGCACGTGCAGATGGCTTGCCAAACCAGGAATTTCTTCGCAAATTTGGACATCTTCTGAGTGCGGACATGCTCCGGAACGCTGAACTTATCCTTGGCCGTGAAAAACAGGTTGCCGGGGATCTGTTTGAAGTCGGCCTTCACATATGTTTCGTCGTCCATGATGCAGCATTCAACTTTCGTCAGCATGTTGAGGTACAACTTCCTGGCACGGGTTTTGGCGGACTTGTTCTGCTTCTCGTCGCGATTAGGGGCCTTTTGTACCTTGAACGTTCGAAGTCCAGCCTTAGTTTTGGCCTTCTGGACAACACTTCGGCTTAGGTGCAGCTTCTTAGCCACATCCCTAACGGAGGCGTTCGGATTTCGGTTGAAGGCCCCAACTACGCGGTTGTGATTTTTGGTGTTGTACGGAATACTTTTTCCTTCACTTCTGGGCTTCCGATCGGTGGTCAACCGTTCCTCGAACCGCTTAATCACTCGCGACACCGTGGAATTCGCGATTCCCAACGTTTTAGCGATGGAACGATGCGAGAGATCCTTGTTCTCGTGATGAATGCGCAAGATTTTATCACGCACGAGCTGTTCTTTCGACTCCATTTCCGCGAGTTTTGATCACAGGACTTTAAAACTTGCAGGATGTAAATAATGCACTATGAACTAAATCCACCCAAATTTTCATTAAATTCTACCCAACGGTTAAAAAGTTAGAGCAATTTCATAGTGTGGCAATTTCATCGTGGACACCCTTTATTAGATAGACATGAACAAAAATCTTGGTTTTACCATAGTAATTCCCATACAAACTTCAAATGGTTTGTGCCATCTCAGTTTCTCAACAAATGGGTTCAAATTTTGAGAGGTAAGTCAAGATCCGATTTGGAATCGTTTAAGTATTGTGGAGCGAAAATTTCAAAACTTGCATCGCTCTAGTGCTTATTTGTCGTCATAATGGGTTAAATATTATCGAAGTAAATTGGAGTATAACTGCTGTTTTGATTAATGTCTTCAATTATTAATTTCACGCGAAAAAAGTGTGCAATTACAACTCAACACAGCATCTGGATGAAAAGAGAACATATCTCCCTATAAGTTCAAAATGTTTTGATTTTTTTTAGGTATTTAAACTACTGCGTCCATTTATGTTAGATTTTAACTTTGTTTATTGGGGACGGATCTTGCGTAGTGATAAGCATCCATGCCTTTAACGCTATGGGTCACGAGTTCAAATCGCATTCAAGGACAAGTCACGAATGACATAAAATGTATTAACGCGACTATTGCGCATTTTCCCCAAATTATACGTTTTCAGCATAGGATCGTTTGGTTGGTAGCGATGCAACAATAGCGGGTTTCATTTCAGGATAACCAATTTTATGTAGGCGCTTACCCGTAAATTTCCTACGTTGTGTTGTTTGTGTGTTGTGTTTTCCTCTGAGCGGTGGCAGCACAGGTGGTGGGGAGAAGTTTCTCTTCTTTTCAGGTTACAGAGAACATCAATGGACAGAAAACGGGAAATTCCAGTGGCACAGGTAAGTGGTGACACTTAGGCAGGATAACTCTTCTGTACTACACTTTTTTTGTTCTCTAACTCACTAATATACAGAGAAAAAGACTTCTCACAAAATTATTTTTTTTTTTGGGATCTGAACTGCTACGCTTTTAAAACGGGACTATTATTCGAGGTTCTATCATTTGGGTCATCGTTTGATCATGGGGTTTTTTTCATTAGGGATACTATTTCCTTTGGATTTTTTTTTTTTCCTTTGGTTTGTTTTTTTCCGTCGATCTTGTTTTCCGTGCTGAGCACCAATGCTACTGACGTGCCAGGAAGGCAGCTTCCACACCTGGACCCTACCTATCGACCCATCAACTCATGAACCGGGGATTAACGACTTTACTTCTCATCCGAAGGAAGGCGTGATCAGAGATGTTAGTTTGGAATTTGACGTGTGAACGTATGTTCTCCGCCATCGAATATTTTCACATAAGTCTATCAACCAAAGCAAAGCACAATATAATATAAAGAGCTAACTTAATGGGGCTTGGGATTAGCAATCCATTCTCAGTTTGCAAAATTTGGTGCATCAGTACTGTCAAAACAGCGGCGCCGGTGGTGTAGTGGTAAGCGTGATTGCCTCTCACCCCAGCACGCCTAGGTTCAATCCCAGTCGGTGCCGCCGGGATGTTCTGAGGCATAACATCTCTGATCACGGAAGGGAAGCAAAGCCGTTGGTCCCCGGTTCATGAGTTGATGGGTCGATAGGTAAGGTCCAGGTGTGGGAGCTGCCTCCCTGGCGTCGGTAGCATTGGTTCTCAGCATGGAAAACAAATCAAGGGGAAAAAAAGTACTGTCAAGGTCAATAACGGTGCTTGCAACGTCGGTGAGGGAAAGGGTTTTCAGCACAACATCCGTGTCTACAAGAAACCGAGTATGCATCTCCACGATTGTCATGGGAAGGACATTTTTGTCAATGGGAAATGATCAGTAGCCACTGATAATAATAAAATCTTTAGTGTTGTAAATATTGTATATACCTAATCCTAATCTTAAGGCTAAAACTAAAGTCAAATCTTAAAACTAGTGATCTTAAACTAAACTACAACTAAATTTATATAAACATGAATTAACATTGTGAACCAGTCTAATGAAGATGATCACCGATTCTCACGAGAGAGAATGATCTCATTCCAATGGTCAATCATTGCACTTGACCAAACGAACCGAATTGTACACACAATACGAGTAGTAGCAAATAGATACCCCAAGCGTGCGCAACCACATCTATTGTCGGTGTTCTTTAATTTCTATTCCTCGATCGTCAACCATCCGTCGGTTGCAATAAATTAAAGGAAGGTGAAGTGGAAATCGAAATTTTGCTTGTGATCCTAAATCGATGTTATCGCGTCAGTGTGATCAGGTTTTGATCAATCGTGTGTCCGTGCGTAATTAACGTGAAAATCGCGGACTCCAACGTTAGTGGAAAGTGACTGACTGGCTAACTCACATCTTCTACTGGGAAGGTGGAGTAGCAGTAGTACGTTTCGGGTGCTAAAGTGCTCCTCTGGTTTCTGTGCGCCGTTCGCGGTACGAACGGGAAAAAAAACCTCCGAATCCCGGCAAATACAGAGCCCACGGCTCGAACATTGGTCCTTCGAGCCGGATCGGAGGACATACCCAAGCCAGGAATCAGCGTCGTAGGCAAGTTAGCGCCATCGCGGTAAGTGGTCAAAGGGCATTGATCACACAAAGGTAGGCCATTCATTCTACTATTGGTGTTTTGTGCAGAAAGTTTGGGCCTTTTCTCGCACGGCCAACGCCAATATTTCGCGCCGATATAAGGAGGCAAGGAATGGCGGCATAATCGAATATTGCATGACAACATCGCATGACCGATCC